TGTTGTCTCTCCATTGTCTGTGTTGGTGTTGTGTAACTTTCAGCAAATCTTGCCTATTTTGCCAAATTGATTCCCTGTCACATGTTCATTGCAATGCTGTTACTCTTTTACTGTCAGTGTTTATTTCTTCCGTTGTAGCATATGGAAATACAACTGTGTTCTGTATATAGGCTTTGAATCTCAAACTTGATGAAGTACTTATTAATTATAGTCACTTGGAGATATTCTTTGGGATATTTTCAGTGATAGTTTTGGCATCTACAAACACAGACAGTCATGTTTGTGCAGCCAGTGCTTTTGCCTGCCTGCATCTCCCCAGCACCATAGTTCGTATTTTTAATTCTGACTCTATAATGGACAGTGTTTGCTATCTGGTTCAGTGTATCTCTAATGGAATCTTAGCATATTCTAATCAAGCAATAGAGGCAGGACTAAGACTTCTAAAAAGTTAGCTCCTAGTAAAAAAGGCAGCATGTGGGAGTCTGAAGTGTTTCTCAGAGGCCCATGTATTAAAGGCTTGCTTTGCCAGTTTGGGGCTGTTGGAAAAAGGTAGAACTTTCCAGAGATGGGGCTAGAAGCCAAGCAAGAGATGATGGATTTAGTGTGAGGCTAGCCTATATTGAGGAATCCTGTCTCAAAACACAAAATAAACAAATGACAGCAAAGATGAAAACAAAACCAAACAAAATACCAGCTGGGGTGTCATGGGAAGTCTGCAGATCATTGAGGGGTGCCCTTGGAGAAGACAGTGGACCCCAGACACTTGCACCTTCCTCTATTCTTTTCAGTCCTGTCCATGAGCTGAGCACCTGTGCTTTGCCAAGTACTCCCATCATAATGTGCTGACTCCTCAGAGCAATAGGGCCAGGAGCTGATGTCTGAAACTTCTGAAACCAAGATCTAGAATAAGCATTTTCCTTCCCTGGTCATCTCAGTATTGACTGTAGTCCTGGAAGAGTGATTGGTTTGCTTGTTGTACAAGCTGTATGTGGTTGTACATGTCTCCTTGCCTTCTGAATCCAAGCAGGGTTAGTTTCACGTGATACTTCTACTTCTTCCCTAATGGCCTCCGAGGAAAATAATTAAAGAGAAGAAGTGTTGCTAGAGTTTTCCTGCCTGGCCCACAGTCAGGACAAATCTCTCTCACCCGCCAGTCCCAAGCCGCTCAAACCCGATCAAATAAACACAGAGACTTATATTGGTTACAAACTGTATGGCCGTGGCAGGCTTCTTGCTAACTGTTCTTACAGCTTAAATTAATCCATTTCTATTAATCTATACCTTGCCACGTGACTTGTGGCTTACCGGTACTTTACATCTTCCTTGTCCTGATGGCGGCTGGCAGTGTCTCCCCTCCCCAGCTTCCTGTTCTCTCCATTCTCCTCTCTGTTAGTCCCGCCTATACTTCCTGCCTGGCCACTGACCAATCAGTGATTTATTCATTGACCAATCAGCAACACATTTGACATACAGACCATCCCACAGCAAAGAAGTAATTTTTCATGGGTCTTCTTTGAGGTCCCAGCTGCCTTTGTCTTCTTTCTATGTGAGCATTTCTTATTTCACTGCCCACTGGGATAACATGATAGGGAAAAGAGACAGGATGGCAAGGTGACATAGATGTGTGTCCCTTGTTCTTTCTGAGAAGTATTAAACTCAACTTTACTCCTTTTTTTATTGATCTTACTATGTTCTTACCACTGTGAGTCATGTCATTTACCCACTTTACAATGAGGCTGAGAGCACTCTGTTGCCCAAACAACAAAGCACAAACCCCTGGCAAAGCAGGTGCAGTGCCAGCTTGTTTTTTTTGGTATCCTCTTCCTGTTCTCTTTCCCCATATAACCTCTACTCAGACACTGCAATTTCTTCTTTAATCTGGGAGAATTTTGAGGCTCCCATTGCCTGTCACAGAGTGCTCTATCTCAATGGAGTGACAGTCTTCCTCCCTTCCTTCACAATTTGGCTCAAATGTCATCTCTTTATAAATCTGCCCCAACCTTCTCAGGCAGTTAATTGTTCCCTCTCTGAGTCCCTGACATTTTATATGTCCCTTCATTACAAATGCTTTTTTAATTAGTTGTTTAATCATCTGCTTTCATTAGATTCTGCATCCAAAAAGGGTAGGAACCCTCTTTTATTTGCCCTGGATGTCCCTTCCCTTGATTGGTAGCATAGTCCTTACCTATGCTAGGCATTTATAATTGTTGCCCTAATGCGTCAGTTTCATAGTGTTTTGTGACATCTCAGAAGCGAGTGGAACTAGATTGGATTTCTGAATCATAGTTGTTCCCAAACACTTATCAGTAAATAGAGTCATCATTGTTCTCCCACTCCATGATCTTCATTTTCACTTTTATGTGATAGTGTTAAATGGAATTTGGATGTCATGAGCATAGGCAGGGCAGGCAAACAGGGGAAAGGACTTCATAGTAAGAATTGGGAAGAAGGGCTGCCGGGAGAGCAGGGTGCATGTGGGCAGCTTCCCACCTGCCACTGTGCTCTGCTGCTTGCAGAGGAAATGTCTTTACAGGTAAGCACTTGGTCCTGTGTTCTGAGCCCTCTGAGCCCCTGCCTCCTGTCAGACTGTCTTTTCAGTCCTGTGCTTCCACAGGGACATTTTCTCAGTGCAGGTGTAGTATGGAACCCCTCACTGCTAGTTCTGCCCTTACCTCTGAGGTGTGTGGCCCTCTTAGAAGCACTCCAAAAGCAGGCTAGAATTCCAGTACCTGTAGTTCACCAAGTCCAGGGTACTGAAATCTTCTTCAAAATGATGTTTAAATCATTTTGTTAAGTCAAGTAGTTTACTCAAGATTCCTGCTGAGCAACAAAAAGTGTTGGGGACAAGGGAGCAACATGTTGAAGATAGAACACATTCTCTGTGCTCACCATCATCTGCTGTGGTAGCACAGCACACCAAGTATGTCCTTTTGTGCCAGAACTGGCATAAATGCTCTAGAACTGGCTCCCTCACTGCTCTGTCTGCAGGTTTCCTCACTCAACTAACAGCATTGTCACATCTTGCATACAGTCTGTCAAAAACTTGTGCTTTCTCGCTCTCTTAAAGCATATTCAGAACTCAGTCACTTGCAGCTCTCCCCTAATCTAGCACTAAACTGTCACTTCATACTCTCTGTCCTTGCAATGGCTTCTCACTGATCTCTCTATAGGCTGTTCTCAGTAGAACAAGACGTAGGGAAATATTAAAGTAAAATTTAGATCCTAGCCTTCACTGCCCCACATCCCACAGTGGCATCCTGATTCACTCATAAGTAAAAGCCAGAGGTCTTTCAATGTTCTGCAAGACATTATAGATTAGACACACAAACATGCACACATACCTAGCCCTCTTCACTGCTACCTCTTAGAGTATTCTTTGTGTTTCTCAGACTAGCTAGCAATACTTCTGTCTCAGGGCTCTCTCTCTCTCTCTCTCTCTCTCTCTCTCTCTCTCTCTCTCTCTCTCTCTCTCTCTCTGTCTCTGTGTGTGTGTGTGTCTCTCTCTTATTAATACTTCTGAAATAGAAAATTTATTGGTTGAAAGCAATGAACATATTTACTGAAAGAGAACACACTCCATACTGAAGTCCATTGTTATTAATATATAGTACAAAGCATACAGAAACCTAGATGATTATTAAATCATTAAAATCAGAAAAATTAAATTAGGTAGAGAAAGAAGATCACATTAGGATTAATTTATAATTAATTAGATATTTAAATGGCACTGGTGTCATTTGAAATTTCTTTCCTGTATTATTTCTCAAGCAAAATAAAATTGCAGGGAAAATGTCATAACATACTTGATTATGTGTGGCTGCTTTCTTAGATAAACTAATGTAATTACTAAGGCTTCATAGTCTGCTGGGGCACACATCATACCTTCTACCTACCCCATTGATACATAAAAACATGATCAAAGGAAGCAATAAAGCAGCAATCTTACAGGGAAAACAATATAATATTCACTTTTGTTTTCTTTCAAAACTGTGTTTTCAACAATTGCTATTAGTTTGCAGGACCAGGAAGGTATATTAGAAACCTCGGTGCTCTTACCATGATCTCCCTTTACTGATATTTGTCTAAGGAGTGAATGGTAAGCCATAGTAGGAAAAAAGTCACTGATCCTCTAGAAAATATAATTGAGCAGTGTCTCTTTGATGTAGAAGAATGAGGTGACAGGAATGTGATAGCAATGCCATGCTTCAAAAACATCAATCATATAAGGGAATCCAGCTATGTTTGTATAAACGTATGGTGGTCTCTAGCCTTTTATAGATATCTAACAACTCTGTGTGACCGCATTCCTTAAGAACTTTCTCCAGGCTCATCTTCACTGCTCATTCCTAGTTGCAACACCTTGAGGATGAAGACTGCAGCTTTGCTTCAATGGAGTGAGCCATTTGGAGGTAAAGCCGCCACCCAACTGTCCCTAGCTTGTGGAAAGCCAGAATCCTCTGCCTAAATTTCTCTACTGTTTGTTGACTCATAGCCAACCAGACATTGGCATGTGCTTCTGCTTTGTCGTGTATATGATGAGTATTCTCTAATTACTACTGCAGCCCTACTAGCTTTACTTTGTAATATACTGCTTGTTCGAAAACAAATGATACTGTCTTCAGAATCAGGTGAAGATCTTGTTTCTCTAGAGAAAATGCAGCTTGATTATACCCGCTAATACATGCCCCTTCCTATTGTATTTCAGAGTTCTGTCTTCAGTCCTGTCCTGTGCTTACTCTGCTCCCACCTGGCTAGTGAGGTATTTATAGGGATGATGACTCCAGTAGTTCTTTCTCTCATTGTAGCAAACATACCTGTCAGAAGCAAGACAAGGGAGGAACGGTTTATTTTGGCTCTTTGTTTCAGAGGATATTGTCTGTTGTGGAGGCTGGAGCAGCTCTGTCTGTCTGCATCAGCAGGATTCTGTGGCTGTGGAGACTATCTTAATTAATTAATCTTAATTTTCTATTGCTGTGAAGAGACACCATGACCAAGGCAACTTAAAGGAGAAAGAATTTATTGGAGCTTCCAGTTTCAGAGGGTGAGTCCATGACCATCCCATGATAGGGAACATGACAACAGGCAGGCAGGCATGGATGGCCCTGGACCAGTAGCTGAGAGCTTACATCCTAAAACACAGCCATGAGATGGAGAAAGCTAAATGGGAATGATGTGGACTTTTGAAACATCTGAGCCCACCCCCAATGACACACCTCCTCCAATAAGGTCACATCTAATCCTCCCCAAAGAGTTCTACCAAATGGGGGACTAAGTATTCAAACATACCATCTCTAAAAAATGTCTATATGACCCTTGGATCAGTTTTTACTTTGTGTTACCTGTCTTTGTTGTTGGCTTTAAGGTATCTTTATATATTCTGGACAGTACCCTTATAAGTTATATGATCTGCAGATATTATTTCCTGTCACATAAATTGTCTTTAAGTTTGATAGCATCTAATTTTTTTTTATTTTTATGAAATCTAATTTATCTGGGTGTTTTGTTGTTGGTTCTGTGATGCTGTATTTGACTATGGTGCTTCTTTTCATACCTAAAATACATCAATGTTAACTTTAATTTATATTATATTAACAAATCACTTAATGAAACTCCACTCTATGCCAGGCATTATTGTGGTCTCTCATTCTCCATTCATTACCATTATAGCCATTTCTTGAGGGAAGAGGGCTCTAAAAGATTGTTTGTTCAGTCTTCAGCTAGTATGTGACATAGGGAAGATTCACACCCAGCTTAACTCAGCACTATTCTCCCTACTCGTGGATATACATCCTTCTTGACCAGACACTAGAGTTAATGACATGAGCAAGAAAGAGGACTTTATTGTATTAGTTTTCTATTTGCTTCTGTCGTGGATTTCCACAAAATAGTGGCTCAAGCAACACGGGTCTACGCTCTTACAGTTCCATAGGTCATAAGAAGTCCAATGTGAATGCCATAGGACTAGCATCGAGGTCTTGTCAAGGCTTGCATTCCCTCTAGAGGCTCTTGGAAACATCTGTCACCTCACTCATTTGAGGTGCTGACAGAATTCAGTTCCTTCTGTTGTCCAGCTGAGTATTCCTTGAAGCCTGTCATTCCTTCAAAGACTGTTCAGATGGCCAGTAAGCATGGTGAAGTTCTCAGCATCAGTAGTCCTTAGGGAAACACAAATCAAAACTGCAGTGAGCTGCCATGTCATACCACCAGGATAGCTATCATCAATAAATTAGAAAATAACAAGTGTCGGCAAGTTTGTAGGGAAGTTAGACTCCTCATGAAGTGCTGATAGGACATAAAATGATGCTGTCCCTATAGAAAGCAATTTGGCAATTCCTCAGAAAGTTAAACAGACTTTTCATATGATCCGAGAGTTCCATTAAATGCCAAAGTATTTTTTTTTAAAAAGTATTCAAGACAAAACTTGCACATAAGTATTCATAGCAGCTCTATGACCATAGCTCAAAAGTCAGAGCAACTCAAATGCCCATCAGCTGATGAATGTATGTACAAATGTGGTCTAAAAAGGAATGGAGTACTTAATATATGGTATATCCTGGATAAACCTTGAAAACATTGTGTTAAAGGAAAGAAATCAGGCATTGTATTCTGTCTGTGTGAAACACTCAGAATAACCAGGTCCACCATGAGCAGGGGCAAGAGAATGAGGAACGATGAAAAGGTTTGCAACCAGATAATGGTAGTGGCTATACAACTCTGTAAATAGACTTAGATCACTGAATTGTGACATTAATTTAGAAACAGTTAAAACTTTCAGTTTTACTTATAATAATCAAGAAATATTGAGGAGGAGTAAGAATATTGTATGTTTGTATACAGACAGAGCTAGGATCAGTGTGGGGAAGAATTTAAGAAGTTTTAGTTGAGATCCTTAAGGAGACTAAATAATGGTGGGTAAGACCTTCATAGCACTAGGTTAGGGTTTAACATAGCATTGTCATGCTCTAGTGTCCTGTGGTTTTTATCTAAAGGATCTAGTGAAGGAGTAAACTAGGCAAGGAACCATAAAATGTAGGGCTGGAGATATGGCACAGTAGTTAAGAGTGCTTTCTGCTCTTCAAAAGGACCAACACTGGGAAGAAGGCTCACAACTACCTGTAACTCCAGCTCCAGGGAATTTGACACTTTCTTCTGGCTTCTGTGTGTATATGCATGCATGTGCTGTAATGAGCAAGCACACACATACACTTAGTAATTATATCAATAAAACAATATAGGATTGCATATTCAGTCTAATTTTGAATAACTCCACGTTTTAGTGAGGGTTATATGACCAAAGATTCATTTGAAAGTCATGTTTCAGAAGAGGTTGGAAACATTTGTCACTACCTCAGTACTGCTCTTCTAGGCTTTCTGTCCTTTAAACATCAGTAGGTGGCTACTTGGGCTCAATTACAAGAAGTAAGAGAGAGAGCAGGAAAAGCTTAGAACAAGTCTTTTCACATAGCCCAGGCTGGCCACCACTCACTAGATAGCCAGGGGTGTCATTGAACTTCCAGTCCTCCTGCCTCTGCTCCTGAGTGCTCAGGTTACAGCATGGGCGAACACATCCAGCCTGTCTGCTTTACCTTGAGCCCTGCTTATGTAGGGCTGCCTATGTAGCATGTGAATCACTTAAGATGAGTCTGTCGGGCGGTGGTGGTGCACGCTTTTAATCCCAACACTCGGGGATCTCTGTGAGTTCGAGGCCAGCCTGGTCTCCAGAGCGAGTTCCAGGAAAGGCGCAAAGCTACACAGAGAAACCCTGTCTCAAAAAACCAAAAAAAAAAAAAAAAGATGAGTCTGTCTACCAAACCCATCTCATCTCCTTAGGGCTGATGGCCCAGAGAGAAGTCAGTTCAAAGATGGGCAAGGCATTAGCCCATGAGGCAAGAGTTAATCATATTTTTTAGGGACCAAATTGATAACTTCAGGGGATGACAGTGACAACTTTTTCCAATCTCTTTGCACAGTAGAACTGAGATAGTGATCAAGGAGACCACACCTTCAACAGGACTGCTTCATTATATCTGAGAATTTTCCCCAGTTCTTTTCTCTATTAAACCTGAAGCTTGTGTCAATACCTTCAAGATGAATTGAGGGTCACTAGGCCTCTTTATTTGTTCTGTTTCCCAGTGAGTGTTTAAGTCTTATCTCTCTGCTTGTCACCAGTATTCATCTCTTTAGTTGAGGTGTCAGAACAATTGATCGACCCCTACCTTTTACTGGACTGCCAGAGCCTGGGCTTTTACCTGAAAACTCCAGTTGCAGTATAAGAGAAGAATGTCCATTCCCTCCTTTAGGCAGAGAGGCCAACAGAGAGTTCTTCTGCTTCTGTTCTTCTGCAACTGCCTTCCAGTCAAATCACCTTACTCCAAGCTGCCATTAGGTTTGGGTGTCTTGAATGCTTTTTACTGGGAATCAGAGTCCTGAAATGTCTTTATCTATACTTTAAATCCTAAGAATTCTTTCTGAATTCTAATGTTCCTTAGTTTCTAAGAAGCTTTAGACTATATTTTCATGAGAATTTTAAGAAAAGCTCAGGAAGACCAATTGGATGTTGTTAATTAGAGATCTTCAGTGGAGATCGGGCTCTACTCCCTGTTTGGGCAGCACACTAGAGCTGACCCTACTGTTGGGTAGGCAGGTGAGCCAACCCTGAGGGTGTGAGAGCAACAAAGCTTACCCTGCCCTCCCTCATCTGTCATGTGGTGGCATGGGTGAAGGAAAGATGCCCTCCCCACTCTGCCCCTTGCTCCCTGCAGCAGACAAGAGAGAGCTGGCTCCAGGGTCATGGGAATTAGAGAACTAGCCCTGCCCCTCACCAGCTCCAGCACACAGGACAACAGGTTCTGCACACTGCCTGGGCAGCACACTGGAGCTGACCCTGTTGTAAGGAGCTCAGGTGAGCCAGCCCTGAGGGCATGAGAGCAGGAGAGCTGACACAAACCCCCTTATATCCCCCCTATAGTAATCTGGAGAAAGGGCCTTGCACCTTGCCTGGGCAAAACAGTAGAGCTGGCCCTGGTGGTGTGAATGTAGGTGACTTGATCTGAGGACCTGAGAGCAGGAGAATTGGCCCCTCTCCTTGCTGATGGCTGCATTGGGTGAGCTATCTGAGGCAATGCTGGAGAGCTCAAGTGACAATGAGGGAAAGTTGGCAGGCTGACCAGCCCAGCTACCACCCAGGCCTAGAACCAGGGCTATGAGTTGGTCCACCCCAACATCCATATCACCTATGAACTGTTGGAGCTGGTGAAGGGGATGAACCTACAGATCCAAAACAGCAGGTTCTTCATGATACAGGACAACAGGATATCCAAGAGGAGCCCCAGTGAGAGCCCATTGTCAGTGGTGTAGCAGAAACCAGAGGCCTCCAGCCAGACCAATGACTCAGGCAATGAACACTTGCAAATAAAGATGAATGGACTAAAGGGTAAACTGTGTGACTCAATGCACCAAAAACTTCCACTATAAGATTCTTCTTTTTTATTGTTGTTTTTGTTTTGTTTTGTTTTGTTTTAGGGGGGAGGTTGCAAGGGCAGATGACAGATTTGAGGGGAAAGGGAGATAAGTGGGATCAGAATGTATGATGTGAAATCCACAAAGAATCAATAAAAGTTAAAAAAAATCTACCTTTTAATACTGCATTTGGAGACAGGAGTAGGTCCTTGTGCCCTGTGATAAGAACACAACATTCACTTATTTTGAATTGAGACTCTTTCTCTATAAAATGGTGATGGAAAAACACCTGTTCTCATTCACATGAAGAGCAATGATGGAGATGAAGATGAAAACCAAGTGGCCTGTGTGAAAGATGTAGTTGGCCTTGAACATAATAAATGCAGAGGTGAATGAGAAAAAAAAAAAACTTCAGTGCAGAAACTTGACAGCCAAGTCCAAGAATGTGATAAGGAGACTTCCTCCCTAGATAGAGGGTACTTGAATGATCCTTATGGTCATTTGATGATCACTGAATGATTCATGTAAGCATACTGTGATGCAAGGGCCTCTGGTTCTGTGTAGTTCTGTTTATGTGCTTCTCCCTAACAGACTCATGTGAAGATGTGGGAAGGTACTTGCAGAATGTTTAGCAGAAAATGCTGCTTTAGAGTAAGATTTGGTTTTCTTAATCAGATAGGTCTCAGCCCATGATTTATCATGTAAAATGGTAAGCCATTCTTGGTATTTTGCCCATAGTTCATACATACTATTTTACATTTCCAGGAGATTAAACCTTTCAATTGATGTTTGATGAGTGAACTGTAAGACAACCAAATCAGGTAAACGTCTTCTTGGGTACTGTTCAGCTGCTGATTGTGGAGCCTCTATGACTCTCCAGCAGGTGGCCTTCTTTTTGCTGTCCTAGCCACATTTGTGAAAAGGCCATTTACACTCTGTACCTAAAGTAGTTCTTGTGAGGGCAGATTGGGCCTGTGCATGTCAAAGATTCTGTGCAGTGCTCACCTCCCTCTGTCCCAAGCATGCTGAGTGTCTGCTGTTATTACTTCCTGACTCTACTCTCCACTCATTTATTTTATTCTAGGGGAATAATCACGTGGGTACTTAAAAGGGAATGCACAAAGCAGCTTGTCACAGAATTGTTCAGTGACAAAGTTGGAATTTCAGTTTGATCAGTCACAGTTTTGATTTATTAATCTGATTAAATAAATCATGATGCATATTTTGTGGACATGTATTAAGATTTGGATTCACGTTGCTAAAGCACTGAGAAAGTGTCTAGCTTATAGAAATCACTATGCTTCAAAAAGTGGTGTAAACAAACCATAGACTGTGTTTACTTACTAAATACAGACAGATCCAAATTTATGTTCAAATTGATCACAATGTGACATTATGACAAAAATAGGTTACAACATGTTACCAATGATGTCACCAAACAGATGTGAAGAGATATATTAAAAGTCTTTTTATTTTAGATGAACTAAACACATATCTGGACTTCTTTACATTTGTTTATCTTATATATTATGTATCACATATATGCCTAGTGCCTATGGAGGGTCAGAAAAAGGCATTGTAACTCCTGGAACTGGATTTATGAACTTCTATGTGGATGCTGGGAATCAAACCAGGATCCTCTGCAGGAGCAACAAGTGGTCTTAACCTCTGAGCCGACTCTGCAGCCCCTAACCTGATTTTCCTAGTATCTGATTTCCTTGGTTATAATTTAACATTGAGAGTCACATAACCTTGAAGCATACTGTTGAAGATTTTTAAGAATTCACCATAGACCCATGAAATCTCAACCCTACACAAAGAACATAGGAAACTGAGGAAAGCTGAGAACAGGAGTGGTGGCCTTTCTCAGGGAAGAACACACCAATCCAAATGGTCAGCCCTGAAAACATACATATAGGTAGCATTATACAAACTTAACAGGTTATAATTAAGAATATGTGTGTATATACATATATTCATTCAGTAACAATTAGTTGAAAATCAAGAGGCCATGAATTTGAAAGAAGAGCAGGGAAGACTATATGAGAGAGTTTAGAAGGAGGAAATGTAAAGGAGAATTGTTGTAATTAAATTATCATCTCAAAAAAATCACCATAGATTGTCTTGTCCATGTGGCTGTTGAAGGTACGGTTGTTTATTGCGATAATTGGTCTTGAGGAAAAACGAGATTCCAGAGGTCAAGTTGAATAAGCTACCATACCTGGAGCTTAAGAAAGTCTGGGTTTCTCCTTCTTGTCTATGCTTTGCCACATGACTTGGTACCCTTTCTCACTAGGGCATGTCCATCTTGTTTCTCTCTGCATCTGCTCACAACTCCTCTGACTCCCACCCTTCTTCCCATCATTCTCAGGTTGGCTGTACTGTCTGTACTTCCACTTCCTGCCTGTTTACTGGCCAGTCAGGTTTTTATTAAGCCAATTCAAGTGTCAAATCTTTACAGTGTACAAAAGGATTATTCCACTGTGTGTGTGTGTGTGTGTATGTATGTGTATTAGACAGAAGGATACAGCACTGTCATTCTTAGATGATTATATATAATCATCTGCCTCATATTTCCAGTGAACTGGTAGAAAAGTGAGGATTAGTCAGTGATGACCAGATAGGAGTGATACACAGAAGCAAACAACTTCTCTGCATATGCTTGAGTCAGCATTTCAGGCTTATGTGCCAACTTCCTCAGAAGCAAACATATTTAATGTATTGTTATTTAACATCCTTTAGAATTGAGCTACACCTGTGTGTGTGTGGCCATGTTCACTGAAATCCAGTGAGAAACAGGGCAGATGCTTAGACATGCTTCTATATTACAGCAAAGCCAAATTTTGTACATGATAGAGTGAACCTGTCCTAAGAAATTACATCAAGATGAAAGCAATCGTGGTCTTCAGTGAGAGCGCATTTGGGTCACTCTATTTCTGATGTTTTCTTGAACTGCTAGTTTCACTTTTACTGTCTTAGCCACAGTAAGGAATGACTTCCTATATCTTAGATATGTCATCTAGACTTACAAGAACACACTCTCTTTTTCTTGTTTTTAACAGCTTCTTACAACTACAGCTGCAGAGCTGGGTATCTGCAGCAGAGAATGAGTCTCAAACTAAAGCTTCAAGTTTTTACTATCTGTCCTTTTCTCTTCTGCTCTGACATTAAATGCAAGAAAATGAAAACACATAGAAGCTTTTAACAAAAAAAAAAATCTAGGATCAAGTTGTTTTTAGGCAATAAGGTTGCATAAATGAACTGATAGAGTATATTAATATTATTTGTTTGATTTTGAGACAAGGTCTCTCTATGTAGCCCTAGTTGTATTGGAATTTTTGTATAAACCAGGCTGGCCTTGAACACTCAGAGGTATGCTTGCTTCTGCCTCCTGAGTGCCAGGATTAAAGGTTAATATGTTTAAAGCATGTTGAAATGTGAGTAATTTTTGAGACATTTTAATGTTTAAAATATTAATACCCTTTATATGTAAATATTTTGAAAATAGATAACTCAGTTGGAAATACCTAATTTTGTCAAATTAGGAAAGAAATGTATAGTATGCACATGGTATATAGACATATATGAATACAAAATATCCATGCAATTAAAAAATTAAAATGAAAAAAATAAAATAAAATAAAAATGTGCAGTAAATAGACCCTTCCTTGTTTTGACACTGATAAATTATGTAAATTTATATTTTTAAACTAAGTTGAAATTTTTCACATACATTCTTAGTATTTAGCAAAAAGAAAGTCAAGGAAGATGTCTGTGCAGCTAATAAGCAGAAGTGAAGGAGGTAGTGGAGAAGGACGCAAGGCACAAAAGCACAAAACCTGTCATCAGGTATCCTCATTGTAGTACTATAAGGAGACTGTGTCGCTACCAAAAAGGAGCCTAGATATTCTGAAGTTGAGTGTGTTGGTGTGTGTCTGCAATTATTGCACCTGGGAGGCTAAAGATAGCCTGGGCTACATAGCAAGACCCTGTCTCAAATCCCCAAATACCTTTGAGAAATTAAAGAAGAGAATGATTTTGAAATGTTAGAAGGCTGAAGGCAAAACCATGAAGGCTGATGCAGTTTGAAAGGAAGCAAAGCCTGTAATGTTGCAGCTGGGAGCCCCAGTGGAGCCAGTACACTGATTTGTGGTTCAGACTGAACTGCAGCTTCACTGAGTTTCACTAAATGTGATGCTATCAAGTGATTGATCAAGCAAGGTCATCCTGGCCAATCATTATAGAAACACATACATACTGCCTGGAGATTCTTAGCCATTAAACTCTGCGTGTGTGCACTCAAGGGAAAGACAGGCTGGTGAGGAGCAGGAGGATGCACTCCCATTTCTGAGCAGAGACAGATGTTGGCAATTGTGGCCTGTTCTCCACATGTGCTTTCCTGATTCCACATGCCTTCAAATTAGAGCCATGTTAGTCAGAAGCTTAGAGCTGAGCAATCGTATCAGGCTCTTGATGGCCTGCTTCTGCTGTGAAGAATGAAGTTGAGAACGGGAGCAGAAGGGCTTCAGTAAATGTTCCTTTTGGATGGGAGGACATTTGTCAGGTCTTGTCTCCTCACACGGATCATCTTTGCTTTCTAGTTAGGTTTTCATTATCTGACAGCTCGAAAAGGTTACATTTGTATTTTGGATTCACTGAACTGCTGAAGCAGTTGGTCATTACCAACACCCATGTCTGATGGAGCACCCACTTCTGCTTGCTTTTCTCAGTTTCCACCCCCACCCTGTCACTGTTGACTTTTGCGTCCTTACATTCTACTAATACAAAGCAGTTTTTTTTTAATTTCCTTCTGATTTCAAAATATGTTTCTCCTTTGAACTGTTTAAGAATAATAGTGTTTTCATAAGTTGTATACCCCTTGACTTCCATCCTGGAAGGAACAGACAGACATACTGTATTTGACAATCCACAGATGTTGCTCACTGGAGTTTGTTTGCCATGTTGTGTTCTTGAAACACCAGAAAAGAAAAGTAAAGGATACTCTTGTGTCCAAGTAAGGAGTTAGCACTGTAGTGTGCTTCTTAAACCCAGAAGAGAGATGAAGAACACTTGTCTCAAGCCATTTTGTGGTGTGTATTCTAGGCCCACAGCTCCAGTGCTGGTGTTTTCATTTCAAAAGCTGTTTCTGGGTGCATATGGCCAACCTAGACTCACCTCTCGAGAAGCCACAGTTCCTGCCAGGTCTCACCTTTCAT